TTTTTAGTTCTCGGCAGACACAACATCTTTGTTGGTATGTGGTGCTGAGGATCGAACCCGGGCCGCATGCACGCCAGGCGAGCGCGCTACCGCTTCAGCCACATCCCCAGCCCCTCTGGTAGATTTTTTAAAATACCAGCAAAACAAAAGTATTAAAGTACTGTGATACTGGTGTATAAATACAAGTCAGACCTGATAATGTCAGAATAGTGTACTCATCTATATGTTTCTATGTATGTTCCTATCCTGAATACTAAAGGTGACATTCACTCACCTGGAACAGCTGAAAGGATTGGAAGATTCTGCCCAKAATAAATTCGGACATCACTTGGTAAAGCAGTTCCCAGAATCATGATACACTGATCCTAAGGAAGAGCTCGTTCAAATAAATTGGATGTTTTTAACTAGAAACATGTTTTAACTTTTTAATTTCTATTTTTTAAATTAGTAAAAACAGTTTCATTGAGTCCAAAGAGTTAAATATGCATATATATATATATTTTTTTTTTATTTTTTTATTTTTTTTGCTACCCACCCTCAGAATGTTCAACTCTTTATTTCAGGTAGTAGGGAAAGAAATACCTGAGTCTGAATTTTTTCTTAGGGCATCTACCCTACCTTCCATCAAATATTCCTCAGAGATTCAAGCTCTTATATTGTTCTTATGGGTCCTGGGAGAAGAGCTGCCCATGTCTACCATGCAATTCAAGAGGTGGTAATTCAAGAGGCTGAGGCAGTAGGATTGCAAGTTCAAGACTAGCCTCAGCACCTTATTGAGACCCTAAGCAACTTAGTGAGATGCTGTCTCCAAATAAAATACAAAAAAGGCTGGGGATATAGCTCAGTGGTTAAGAGCTCCTGGGTTCAATTGCTGTTACCAAAAAAAAAAAAAAAAAGAAAGAAAGAAAGAAAGAGAGAAAAGAAAAGAAAAAGAAATACTCCTCAGACTAAATTTAGTGTAAAAGTCCTAAGGGACAGTTTCAGAGAGAAGGGGTTTGGGGTGTGAGTCACATACAGGAAGAAAATTAGAGCAAAATTTTTTATATCAGGAATATTCAGTCCAGTCCTCTGAGCTCCCACAACCTAATCATTTTATTATATATTTCAAGACTTCATTGCAGGGAGTTCCTCTGAAGATAGTATTAGGGGAAGATACTGGCTAATGCTTACATTATCTTAAGAGGGCCCTTGCTCTCAGGCTTATGGATCTGATATATAAAGTACTGCTACAAATTCTTCCCAACCTCTTATTTGTATCAAGAGGAAGAAGGGGAAAGAGGTAAAGAAAAAAAGCAAGAAAATAAAAATGGGGAGGGACATCAAGTTCCCTGCCTTTGATATGGATGCCCTGGACTTGCTGGGAAGTTCTTTGTCCAAACCTTGTAGGGTGTGAACCAAGCTCAGATGGAGTCCAAGAAAGGGGTGTTCTAAGGAAGATAAGCTAGAGCCACTGCCCTCAGACTCAGTCTTCATCATTATTCAATGCTGCAGTCTAAGGAGTTGCTCCCATCATCCTCCTCCCCACCTCCTTCTTATTCTCCTCTGGTCATGGTAAAGGATGACAGTTGACCTAAACAGTCTGACAAATGTGTCCCTGGGCCCTGGAGCCACACCTCCTCTCCAATCTTTTCTTGCATACTCCTGGCTGATAAGGACTGTACATCTGAACTTGGCCCTGCCTCTTCACATGCAGCATACTCCTTAGGCAAACAATTCTCAAGCCAGAGATCCATGTCCAACCTGTATGTACTGTTTCCACAGCTCCTCAGCCTGGCTCTTACATTATTCTTATGGGTCCTGGGAGAAGAGCTGCCCATCTCTACCATGCAATTCCTGTTGCAGCTCCCTTCTTAAACATAAATCCTGATAGAACATGTGGTATCTTTTCAAGGATGGCCTCTTTGGCTCTCCTTGAAATTTCATCTTCTTGGAAAATAAAAACATAGTTTTCTGGATGATAGCTCACTTCCTCCACATTTCCTGAAACTTCTTTTGGCATTCAGTTCAGTAGACATTGGGGATAAAAGATTTCTTTGAGTGTTGAACTACAGTAGGACAATCTTCATTGGGTTGATGATAAGTATTCCCTCAAACTACTGTTTCTCCAGGAAATCTTGAATACATATACTTTTGCTTCATTTGCTCTAGAAGCTCCTCCACAGGGTTTTTTGTTTTGTTTTGTTTTTAAATGTAGATGGACACAATACCTTTGTTTATTTATTTTTATGTGGTGCTGAGGCTCGAACCCAGGGCCTCGCACGTGCAAGGTAAGCACTCCACTGCTGAGCCACAACCCCAGTCCTCTTCCATGGGATTTTGATTAGGTCCCAATTGTACTGCGAAATTAGCCCAGTGCTTTTTTTATTTTTTTTAATTTTCTTAGTGATAGGTGGACCCAATAGCTTTATTTTTATTTCTTTCTTTTTATGTGATGCTGAGGATCGAACCCTGAGCCTCATGCATGTGAGGCAAGCGCTCTACAACTGAGCCACAACTCCAGCCCCAGTGCTTCTTTGTGAAGTCCATAATTACATACTTTTTTCTATTATTTTCAGGAATTGTTAACGTGTTCTTTAGCATCTAATTCTTTCTAAGTACAATACTTTTTCAATTCAAGAAATCTCTAACTATTTAAATGTGCACATTTCCCAAGAACAACCCTTAAAAGCTACTTTTTCCTAGTCTAGACATGACTCTGTTACCTTTTTTTTTCTTCCAGAAACACAGAGGTTTATTTAGGGAAGCAGATACATATCCAAGAAAGAACAGTGGCAATCTCAAGACAGAGACAYCTTTGGGATTACACAAGGAATACACATCCAAGAAAGAATGTGGGCCATATTGAGAGTGAGAGATATGTTTCAGGGGATGACTCTGTTACTTTAAAGTGATGCTGTCATTGGGTGGGAGTTTTTTGTTTTGTGCTTCTGAGAGGGGAGAGTACTGGGGATTGAATCCAGGGACACGTTAGTACTGAGCCACATCCCCAGACCTTTTTATTTTTTAAGACAGGGTCTCACTAAGTTACTAAGGCCAGCCTTGAGCCTGCAATCCTCCTGCCTCTGCCTACTGAGCCTCTGGGATTACAGACATGTGCAACTGCACTTGGCTTGGGTGGGATTTCATTCTGCATGCATTCAAGAATATCCTCTTCTAACCAGGATTTGGTCATGAGGTGAAGCCATTTCAAGGTCTTTGGGTCTTTTAATAAGATTCAAGGCTCAAAGTTCTGTACTATCAAGGCTCGGCAGGTAAATTATTTCCACAAGTTCCGTACAGTGTTTGATTTTAGATTTCTGAATTTTCAAAAATTGGTTTCATC